TCCCCCCACTCACATCTGTGGGGGGGGGGGGGGGGGGGAGGGGGCCGGAGGAAGGGAGAGATATCCAACACATCAAGAAGCATTAAGTGACAAATTCATAGAATTGATATCTGTGAACATAAGAGATACTGCTCATGAAGTTTCCTTTGCAAAGGAGATGTGGAGGTACAAGGAAGGTCTCAGAAAAGAGGTCTCTGGTGAAACAGAAAGACAGAAACTAAAGGGCAAGAAAAGGAGGGAATGGACTTTTAAGTCAATGCTAAGAAGCTATTTATATAACCATGGCGGATACCAAGCAAACGCTGCTGCTCACAATTACCATTTCAACACTGAAAATTTGAGGGGAGTAAGAATTCCTGCAATTCCTTTGTGTATCTTCACAGATTTCAGCTGTTCTAACTCTAGCATATGGTCAATGTCTCTTCAAACCACCCTCGAAGGGTCATTTTTGTTTTTTTGGTGCATGTGGGGTTTTTTCATCAACTCAGGCAGAACATCTAAGCCATTTCCTTCAAGAGTTTCAGTTTCAGTGAAAATGCTTTTGCACAGCCATAATTTTAAGGATGACAACACAGGGCAGGGCATGCAAAAGTGTAACTGTCTAAGCAGGCTTATCAATGGGAAGATGAATTTGTGCTGAAACAAAGTCCCAAGCAGTTTAAATTAATCCAAATTGTCAATTTAAGTGCTTATACCTCTGAAATAATCCAGGCAGTGTTAAGCATATTTAATGTCAAGGGGACTCCTACAATGTCATAAACAGTTAGTAACTACTACACATTAACAGAACCAGAATATAAACTTCTAACATCATCAGGGACAAACTTCTATAACAATGATTAGAACTGAACTTCTAGTTCAATAAACATAGTTACAGAGATCTTCAGGTAAAACCCAGAATAAGAAAAACTCTCAAATTTTTGACTGTAGTTCAAGTTTCTGATCACAAGCTTTTATAGAAAACTTTCAATTTCCTGATAGCAAACACTCAGGTTTTAACAACAGGCAAAAAAGTGTAGTTCAACAGCTTAAAAATACATCACTTTGAATGCCTGCAGAAACACCTCACCAAAAATGTTGTAAGTAACCACTTATCTTTGAATCTATCTTTCCTTGCATGTTTCTGAAAATGTGATGGAAATGAAGCAGTTTATGCTGGAATTTAATCCCAAATGTTGTACTATGTTATTATAATTCTTTAGATACCGGTACTGCAATAGGGAAATACTGCATTTCATTATTTTAAGGGGAAAAAAATCAATTCATAAAGATTGAGGGGCACACAATAGAGACACAAGTTACTTAGCTGGAATTCTCCAAAGCATTTGAACAGTTGATCTTAGAAGTAGACTGTCAAGATTACAGCATAAAGTATATGACTGCCTTTATGAGGCAATTGCTACCCCTGCCCCAAGGGGATTTACATAAAATACCTTCTAATAATGTTTTTCTTATCCAGCAAGTCAGAACCACACATTATGCCAACAAGAAAACACAGATGAACATACATGATCTGTAGAGACAATTGCTTTCAGAACACTCCATTTACTTTATAATATTATTGCAATAAAAGTGGATAGGATGTCAAAGTAATTAACTGACAGGCGTCATTTAAGGCACTTCAAGCTCTCAGCAACACAGGATTAACAACTCTATGCCTATTAAAGTACTTATTTATGTTACAGTAGTACCCAGAGGCCCCAACTGAGATCTTTCGAGTGGAGTATTAGAAAATCATTATCATGTTGAGTCTAAGTTCCCTTTCAAATTTTTTTTAAAAAAGAACATTCTTTTGTTTAAGCCAAATTGTTACCTCTAAGCTTTACTACAGTTTGTGCTGTTTAGCTCATCTTTATTTTTAACGTCAGAAAGAAGTAAAAGCATACTGCATATTTTTAAACAGAAAATCAGAAGAAGCATAGCTCTGAAACACATATGCCCTAGACTATTCCCTCCCTTTCAGGCCATTGGGTCTAGACACACATGTTCCTTCATTTATCTGTACCTGTATAAAGAGGTTTGTATAACAAGATTGCTGTCTCTCCACCCTCTACAGAACAAAACCCCAATCCAAACCCTAGCATTAGCAGGTTGTCTGTGAGAATTGTGAATCCAACTAGCAAAATGATCTGGTACAAATTAGTAGGCTCTCAAAAGTCTCACTAAGATCAAACTACTGACTGTTAAAATTCACATGGAACAGGCAGAATCTGCATAAACTTCTTAGAGGCATTATTGAAAAAGATGGTTCAATAATATGTGTTTCTAAAAAAATTGTATATGCAAATATTAGTACTATCTGCTGTTGTAAAAATTAATGCCTTTTTCAAATTTTTTCTGAGACAATTTTTTTTCCAAACTTCAAAAGCTGTACTGTCGTATTCTGCATAATTAACTTTTGGTTTATACTAACTGGCCCACTGAGAATATTCATTATATTTTGCTTGTAAGACCTGTTTAATGAAAGCCACCATGACTGTCTCCAGAGTCTAAAAAAAACTTACATTATAAATTATTGAAAAATCATTAGGTAACCATTCGTACCAAAACACAAACATCCCTCAGATTCTCTGCACAGGTAAGCCAGTAAAGCTAGTTACTCAACCAGCATCTACCACGGCTCTGGTGGCACACAGTACAGGCATAAGCAGGATTGTAAAAACACTAGCTAAATTTTTCTGCAGTTTGCTTATTCTGGTGACAGACTCAGCAGAAGTTATCAGTATGTCCTAGTTTCTCTACACTCGAGCCACCGCCCTGCCAGTTTTTCCCTGACCTGCCTTAAATGTATTTTGCAAAAAGTTTTGGTCTGTTGCAATGCAATCCTGAGCAACTTAAATGGTTCCTTAATTTCCACAGTTTAACACTGGAGTTGAATAATCTGTTCCAACAAATCATCTCTGGAATTCATATGTTCTTAAATGCTTAATGAAGAACAGATTTTCAGTGAGATTCTCTATCTTCCTGTCTCAGGGAAGGATCTTACCAGATTGCAAAGCTTCACTTTTCATTCTTTTAAAGTACTCCACTGGAAGAACGAGACCCCAGGTTCTACCTTCACTCAAGAAAAACAGAAAATCTAAAGCACAGTACAGCAGTTCTAATATTCTGCTCAAGTTAACAGTATGCTCATTAATGAAATTAATATTTTACAAAACAATGAAAATACACTTTGAATTTTCCTTTTATAAGTCATCTTATGTGTTACACATCTCAGAACTGTTTGTTAGGATCTGCGAGCAAATTTCACACCTGGAAATGAATCTGGAAAGAGTAAACTTTAACAAGTTACTTACTGTAAATTTGCTACTTTTACTGATACAGGAATGTGGGGAAGTTGAGTGGCCCATTTCAGTGTAACATCTTGATAAATGTTCAATATTTTACCATGGTTTCCAACTAGAGTATTTATTGTTCCTTCTTTCACTGTTAAAGATACAAAACCAGTTTTAGGATGAAAGATTTTCAAAAGCCAGTACTTCTCTTTGAGGCTTATATCATTACACTATTTTTTTCTTTTTGTTTTAAGCCATTACTTGTTATAAATTAATCTAGTATAATTAAAGTGTCAAAAGTTATGAAAGTTACATTGACAGTAACCAAGGATATATGTGATTAATTATGGATACCAATTTCAAATGTATACTGCACAACACATGCCACAGCTTTCCAAGGTTCTAGCCAGCCATGCTTGGTAATTTAAAACATGACTAACAAAGACTCATAATTGCCATGTTAGCATACCAGAATAGATATGACAAAATACACATTGGTTAAATATCAGCTACTTACACTCTTCATTAATTCACTGACCTGTGAATACTGAGTAAAGGTGTATGGATTGATAAGTTTTATTTCTAGTATAATATGAATCAGAAAGTATAAAGTGTGAAGATTGTTAAAATCATACCTATAACATCTAAAATGATATTTTAAGCCTAAAATAATACATGGTGTCAAAAATTTATCAGAGTTTTTGAAACATTAATATAGAATAGGCAGTAAGAATCTGTAGTTCCACAGTGGCATCCAACCAAGTTGCTTCCGTACAATGTAATTAGTTTCATCTCCTAACAGCACTCTTTGATTTTTTTTTTTTTTTTTTTTTTTTTTTTAAACTATCAGTAAATAACAGAAGGTCCTCGAACACTAGTTTACTCTTCCAGAAATCTCTCATTCTTCCATATTCATTGCTTTGGTAGGCTGGGCAAGCTTACTCAAACACGAGACAAGTACCTCAATGTTGTGATGAGAAAATATCTATTTAGATTTTAAAAATTATGACACTTCACACTAAGTAACATTTGAAAATAAACAAGTTTCATCCAAAAAGAGAGGTCAGATTTTCTACAAATCAACAGCTTATTCCAAAAAACATATTTATTCAGTGGAAAAAAGTTTCTTAGCTTTAAAAAGTAACCAAGCTGAAGTTAAGTTTTCTTTTTACAAACCTGAACAATAAGGAATGAAGCAACTTGGACTATAATCAAGCTTCTTCATGAATCGAATTTGCCCATTATCCTTAAGGCAAAAAAAGTTTCTCTCGCCAAGTACAAAAACAGAAGAAACTGCCTGATTAAAGGAGACAACGCATATATCCAGTGCTTGCTCTCCGATGTTTAAAACCCAATCCACCTTCAAAAGAAAAAACATGCTCCAGAGATCAGTTGACAGCTGCATATTAAAGACAAAACCTATAGAGAAGGCTTAGAACTCACCAAGTTACATGAATATCATAAACATAGATAGAAAAGCAAAATCAAGGTCTTTTTTTGAATGAGAAAAATATTAGTTATCCTCTTATTTTGAAGGCAGTTGGTGACTTTCCTTATTGTGAGTAAAGCAGCAAAAACATCACTCAGTTTTTGAAATAGCTGTGAATTGATGGCTATGCAGTTCACTTAAGTATATTTAAATTTTAAAATACACATTCCACTCAAAATGAAAATGCTGTATACTTTAACTATTAAATCCAAGAACAGAGTATTAGAATCATTTAAATCTGCCCCTTAGGTATTGAGGGCAAGGTTAGAGAGCAAAAGGTGGTAACTTATTCTACCAATACATGTAAATGGAAAAATAAAGTTTTAGGTGTGTAAGCCAATATTCATGCTTGCAGCCACTAATGTACACCCTTCAATCTGAAGAATGTTCATATATATGATGCCTGTCTACTTTTCCAACTACATACATTGGTATAATAAGCAACTACTTACAAATCCCACCCTGCCTACATCCTTACATCTTTAAACAATACTACTGCTTCTTGATACATTTCATTGGTTTGTTACTTCAGCTACTTTGAGAAATTTCAACTAATTCACAGGTGCAAAAATTGCTTTTGACTGCCGCCAAGCTGGTTAAACAGAAATTCAGAATTTCTGAAGTCAAAAAAATATCAAAGTTCAACTGTCAGCACTTCCTATATGAACAGCATCAATAATTTTGCTTAAAGAACACAGAACGTGTTAGTAAACATACTGGCTTATCTGATATATGAAGCTGGAAGTGCCATCTTAAAAGTCAAAGGGGGGAAAAAATCCAGGCTTATTACATTCATCTCCACTTATGCTTCCCATTTTAGATTTTAAAAAATGTATTTAATCTGCCACATATCTGATGAAGCCTCCAAATTTCTTACTTAAAAATTGTGTCTTTGCCTAATTCAAAATGTAGGATTCTGACTGACTTATAGTTTGAAAAAAATTCTATGATTAGCCACTGGAAGGAAGATGCTCCCCCAATATTTTACTGTCATACCTGAAATATGCTGAATGTAGCATTTTAAGCAGTGTATTTAGCAGATAAGCAATTCTACTGCAGGACCACAGAGAATGAAATTCTCTTCCTCTTAATATGAGGCAGTTCAAATATTAAACTACTTAGTCACAGGGACCTCCTGAAGACCATTGAATCCACAGGTTTTTGACAAGAAGAGTCCAGGATACTGACTATTCCTGGAAACATTTTTCACCGCTGTGTTTTCCATAAGTACAAAGGATTCCCCAAGCAGAATTAAGCTAGTTTTTGAAGTCTAATAAAAGTCAAACAGACAAAATTAAACAAACAAAATTAAATAGACAATAGACAAATTAAAAACATGAGCATTATTTCAGGTGTGTCTATTTTACTATAGTTTAGGTTCTGTATTACAAAGACTGCCTTAGAAACAGTTGTTTCCAGTACACAGTTCTCTCTTTTTTTAATCCTCCTTAGAACAACAGTGAATTTTAAGGCTCAGCGTTACACAACTGAGGCCCAAATACATCTTAATAGAAATCTACTGGCCTTTAACGGCAATTGGATCAAGTCCTTTGTCAGCAGACAACGTTTCCATTTGTTTTTTAGCATTGGTCTTTAACATGTATGCAGTGTACCATACAGGTTATGTAAAATAAACAGGTTTTACCGCAAGTCTTTTTCCAGAGCTAAGCTTTTGCTGTTCTGTTTCTTGTCTTTCATCAGCATCTGTCGCAAATGCCAGCACCTGGTATCTGTTACAGGTAGTTTAAAAAAGTAAAAGTGAAATATATCTTTGTAGTTAATACCCTTACATTAAGTAAAAAATAAAATATAATAATCATATTATGATTATATATACACAGTAAAAGCACAGTCTAAAAGGATTCTTCGAAAGCCTACTGCAATACATCTATCAAAGATGTTAAAATAAGTATCATTGTAGGATAACAGCTAAGTGTAAAGGCAACAGTTAAAACAAATGTTTCTATTCAGATTTTATCTGGTGTTAAAATAAATTCAACTGCTAAATATATTAAAGGATAGAAATCTAGACCATAAAGACAACAGAAGCAAGAAACCAACACATTTTCAAATTGTGAAATTAGGATTCTAATAAACTTTTTTGCTCTTATTAAGACTTAAAAAAATCTCCTAAAACCACCCTGAATACAATCCCTTATATCCAATAGTTACATCAAGCACACCCATTATGCAAAATAAGTGGTTCTAATCCAAGAGGTAACAGTAAACTGGCACCAGCAGGTGGCAGATCTAGCAAAAGATGGGAGGTTTGTGGGTTTGGGGTGTTAGGCTGTTTTTGTTCTTGTTTTGTAACTGCCATCCAACCACACTAAGGAAAATTGGCAATGAAGACATTAGAAGAAAAGATGTCAGCTGCCCCAAAAGCACCAGACATCTATCTGTCCTTATTTACACCTATGCAATCCTCAGTGTTCAAACTGTGTCCTCATTGACTATTCTAGAACTATTTCTTTCCTGAATTTGTGCTGGTGTCCTAACTTACTGAACCACCCAAACCAAAAATTACGTGTTTCTAATGTATGCCCGTTAAGTAATCTGTAAAATACTGACATTTCCTACAAAAGTAAAATAAAAACCAAAAACAAAACAAAAATTATCCAAAAGATAACATTCTATTCTGGAAGTCATGGAGTACCATCAGCTCCTAAACTCAAACCAACACAATTCTGAATGTTCCAATTCAAGTCTAAGAAATAAAAGTACACATTTTTGTATATTGTCAGTTATAGATTTAAAATGATAACACCAGCAGCCCTCACATTTTAGATACATGTATCGTGGTGCTCACTATTGAAGATTTTTAGTTTCTAAAATTATTTTAGTTGCAGAAATAAGCTATGTACTCGGAGTAAGAAGTTTAATTGCTTGAAGTGAATGCCATGACCTACTTAAAAATACTAAACACACTGGTGTCAGTACAATTATCATGTCTTTAAGTGTCCTCTATATGAACAAATTCACCTCCCTTTTTCAGTTTAACACATTTGTAAGAGAAGCTGCAGATTCTGACCTAATAAAATTTTCTCTTTTCACCATATTTATTTGATAGTCTTTACTAACACATTATCATTTTATTAACTAATCAGGGACATAGTTTTCAAACCAAACTTCCATTGAACAGCAATATGTATTGATGCTGTAAGTATTAACTACCTGCATACAAGTCTTTCATCACAAAAAAACTCAAGCCACAGATGACCAACACAAACTTTGAATTCAGCTATGACATCAAGTATACAATCACTTAAATAAGAGGCATTTTACTTTTAGATCTTGAAAGATTTCAGAATCAACACAGAAAATATTGCTTTCAAATGAACGCACTGGTCTGTATGAGCTATAGGAAGATGGATAATGTGAAATCTGGCAACTTGTTCTGCTAAAAACACTAGACAGAACCGCTATACTTTTCATTTACTATATTAAGAAAAAACATATTTAATACAACCATGAAAATAACCTCTTTTCTCCTTACCAAGTCTATTTCCTTCACTTTATAAGGATTACTTAATTCAAATGTCCTAATAGTTCAGACACACACTAGAGATTAGTACAACAGTGTCTTAACACTTGGCCCTAAAGACCAGTAACCAGAATCCAAGTGAAGAATTCCTTTAAAACTATACCTTCCTACAATAAAGACAGCACACTTGTGAATCAGCAACAGACTGAGGAAAAATTTTAGCCACATTTGTTGTAGTCAAGAATCTAACCATAATGAAAATGCATGAGATATTAATTTTAAAGAAAAATATTTATTCCTTACCAATATTAATACATTCTATTCTCATTTATTTCTTAGGAAAAATAGGAATTTTCTACTAAATTACTTTTACTTGCAGCATATATATTTTCTCCTGTATTAAGGAAACAATACACATTGTCTATACTCTGTTCATACAATATCCAGAATCTAAAAACCATCTGATCAAGCTTAAGCAGCATAATAAAAAGAATATTGCTTGAGAAATTCAGGTGACAGAGCAGGGTAGTGTGACAGAGCAGGGTAGTGTGACAAAGTGTTGTGTTAGATTAACATTCCTTGGATTAGATTCCCAAAGCATAATCTATAAAACATGGCATTCTTATTTTCTTTGATATTATTACCTCTGAAAAATTCCTTAAGGTATTTGTCAGCCCACTCCCCCAGTTTGATGAGATTCCTCTGAATGGTAGCCCTACCCTCTTTGTATTAGCCATTTCCTATAATTTGGCATTATCCTTGAATTTCAGGACATGCATTATGTCCTATTGTCCAGGATTAATATGCTAAAGAAATACTGGCTCTAGTATCAGCTCCCGAGGAACTTTACTCATCTTTGGCTGCTAGTTAGAACAGTGGACAACTACTAAACAACTACTACTAGAGCCTGACAGCTCTACCACTTTTTCATCCATTTTTTTTAGCTTTTTTATCATCATGGGTAGCAGCTCTGCCCCAAACACCACACAACCCCAATTTACTGCTAGGCGCAGAGATTCAAAAAGCCTAAGAGCAGACCATGTCAGTATTAATGGAGAAATGAGGAGGCAAAACAAGCATTAAGTTCCTTGGTCTTTTCATACCTTTGCTAAAGTTGCCCAATCTGTTCAGTAGTGCGTCAAATTCACAGATCTACCTTTTTACACCTGAGGTACCTATGGAATTCTTGTTCTTCAGACCCTCTGCCAGTAGATGTTTTAATCAAGCTTATATGTTCTCAATCCCATCCCCTGCAGGCCCACATGATGTTTTATATTCCTCCTTAGTAGTCCATTTTAATTTCCATCTCAAACATTTCCTTTTTTCCATTTGAACTCAGTCAGGAGTACTTGTCCAGTCAAGCTGCCTTCTGCTACCTCTTGTTTTCTTGAAGATGGAAATGGATTGGGTTTTGTCTTTGAGAAGGTTATCCATGAAGATTCACTAGCTCTCCTGAGCCCTTCTGCCCTTCAGGCCAGCCTCTCACAGGATGCTGTCTACCAGTTCCTCGAACAAGCCCAAATCTGTTCTCTTGAAATCTAGAGTCTTTAGTCCACTGCTTATCTTCCTCACTTCTCTCAGGATCTTAATCTGTACCATCTCATGGTCATGGCAGCCAAAGTCTGCAACACTCAACAGCAGATGCTGACTTGACTTCTCCAAACATTTTTCTCCCGAGTTGTGGATTCAGCAGAGCTTCTTTCTTAGCCAGGCTCTCTAGCACCTGCATCAAAAAAGTCTTCCCTAACACAACTTAGAAACCTTCCACATTGCTGAAGTCCATTACATTGCTCTCCCAGCAGACATCAGTCCTCCATGAAAACAACAGCCTGCAACTGGGAAACTACTTCTTTAAAAAAGGCTTCATAGCAGACATCTACCACAACATCCCCTTCCTCAGGCACCATCTGTTTCTAAACAGATGAATGCTTGATAAACTCTCAACATTGTGGTTCTGTAAGAGAGCCCCATGTATTCAGGCTGCTCCTCCATGGTGAACACAAATCCCCCCTTGTCTGTGTGCTTCCTGAAGAGCCTGGAGTCATCCATTACAGCACCTTAGTCATGCAAGCTACCCTGTCACATCTACTGTGCACACAGCTTCTAGTTCCTCCTCTTTGTTGCCAAAGCTGTAGGTGTTTGTAAATACATGCTTAATATGGGCTCTTACTCATCTCCCTTTGTGCACTTTACCTTTTTGACTTGCTGGATTTAGCACCTATCCCTCAGTCTAGCAGTCAAGGATTCAAACAAGCCTCCTCTGCTGTTTTGTCAGGTAGATTCCATCTCTTCCCCACTAGCCCTTGTTCCTTCAAGAGGATCCTATGATCACAAAAGCCAAAGCCCTGTCTCAAATCTCTTCTGAAAACCGAACAGATTCATCAGACTCACACCTATTTGCATCAAAATAAAAATCCCCTTGAAAAAACTGGAAGGGACATCTTGCTCAAGCTGTATAGGGCAGACAACACTGAAAGCACAGACCAGACTGAAGCAGGGAAAATCCAAGCACTTGCAGAACATAACGTGTCTTAATAAGCTAGTAAACTTAACACAATTATACAAATAAAATAGGACCATAAAGTCCTCAGGACACACAGTATGTTTTCTTCTATGACTGTACAAAGAAAGTCATCATTCAACAACATATAACATTTTATTTTTCTTCTTTCCTGCAATTACCTTCCACCTGCTTTGGGATAAAATATTAGTAAAGGCAATAAAAATTAGACATGATTCCTTTTGATTTGTTTACATACTAAATGATAGCACCAAAATGCGCTATAATTACTGAACATGAACACATACTTGTAACTCTCGACCTGTTGACAAGACGACACTGTAATGAAAGAATCTGTCCGAGAGCTGTAAGTCAATGGACCAGGCAGAAGAAAACCAGGTAAAAAACGGCCAAAAGCATAGCTTTCCTGTTCAAATAACATGAGCATCCCATCCATGGACTGTATGCATATCAAATCTCGACCTAAGGAAAGCAAAAGAAAGAAATACAAAGGAAACAAAGCAATGTTATTTATATAGTTTTAATCCTAAAATTGTACTCATAAGTAATCCTAACAAAAATAAGATTAATTTTAATTTACATGAGTTTTTATTATGAGGAAGACCACTAAAAATATTCCAACCTCACTAAAAGTTTACTTACTAAAATAAACAAACTAGATTTTCTGGGGAATAACATTCAGAATATATTAAGAGCAAAAAAAAGTTAGATATTTTATTTTAAACCAAAATTTCTAAAGATATAACTATTACAATTTCAGTTTAAAGAAATGTTTCAGTACTCCCCAAACCCAAAGTTATTCTGGTTCTTAAATGCCTCTACACCTTACAAGCAGTCATGAAAATTGTGATATAAAAACAACCTATTCTAGTCTTTCAAGTCTACTTAAGCAATGTAACAAAGTGCTACAAATACGTATTGTGACAATACAATAGTAATGTTTTCCACACTCTGCATTCACATTTTCTGTCTTCAAGGAAAGAAAAAACAGGCCCAGTGAGTGTTACCAATAAGATTAAAAAAAAACAAAAATAAAAAAATTCAGCTTGGAGTAAATTACTTCATTATTCAGTCTCGCCCATTATTCAGCAGCCTCAAGACATGACTTATGCCTCAAGTACAGCAAACTAAATTCAAAGTCTCATTTTGAAGACTTCTGAAATCAGAAGCTGATTATGCAGTTTGCATTTCATATGCAAGGTCAACAATTCAAACAAACAATATTTTGCACACATTCCAAGACAGCACTACACCAGTAAGACTAACACCTTCTGAAGTTGATAGAAGCATCTCTCCTGAATTCGGAGATGAGCCCCTATCTTACACACACAACATGAAATACTTGTAATTCAAAATGTCTATTCACCTCCATTAAAATACTCCATTGTATCTCAGGTATTATTCTATATGCATGGAGGACCCAAACAAATTGTCTGTTCACTAAGCTCCATCCTCAATCCTTTAAGAACTGTCTTCTAACATAGGAAGGTGAAGCAAAACAAAAATAGACTAAAGCTTCATTCTTACACTTAGATAAAGGTAACAAAGGTCAGAGATAGTCAGTATCTGAAAAAGTAACAAAGTACAGTGCAAAACACTGTTCATCTCCACTGTGATTATTCATAGAAACTTTAACTAGTTAAAAATAAATAGTAGTGTAATAGGTCAGCAGTACATCATGTTATTTGTCCTTGTGTTTAAAACATACAAACACTTAGCATTGGGTAAGAACAAAAAAAAAACCACAAAAGGAAAGTAAAGCAGCTGGATCCTTTCCACTTGCCTTCCCTCATTCCTTTTGCAGATTTTCCCATTTTCTAAAAACCAAGTTCTCCTATCCTTCATTCCAGATTCTGCACATAATTCACTACATGTTCTATAAACCCCATTGCAAGTATCAACCATTTGGTAGGATGGACATTTGAAAGTGTAATTCATGTTCTTCATTTGGTAGAGGCAGAGTTCAGTCTCTCAGTCTCTAGTGAAAAAGTTTAAGTACTTCACTCCTTCACAACAATGATTACATAGACAGAATGGCAAAACAGTTTCAACAGTGTAATTTCAGGAACACTGTTGGCATTTCAAGCACTTAATTACAAGGCCTATTTCTTGTCCTATATTCTACATAGTCCTTTTCTGAAAACTTTAAAGGTCACTCTTATTTAATGGAGTTTTGTTGGTTTTGTCTGTTTGAAAACTAAAATGCATACATCTTGAGAGATAACATTAACTGAAAATATCAAACTTAAATTTTGCCTTAGCACAGTAGTAATAGCATTTCCAATTGACAAATTAATAAATTAAAATATAGAAAGTTTATTCAACATTAGAAAAATCCCTTATTCCTTATTAAACATGAGAGAAGTAGTCCATTAATCAAAAACCCTTGTGGCTTCAAAAAGGAACTTAGATTGATAGACAATGAAAACTTATCTTCCTAAGCTAAAAAATGTCAAGATCTATACTAATAAACCAACATGTTATACAAAAGCAATTCATCATGGAAATCATTACAGCACTGTTCAAAAGTCAGACTGAAATTTTGCCTGATAGTGAAGTCAAACCAATATATTTTGGGGTTTTTTTTTACTACTGCAAGTGAGAAAATAGATCATCTTTATAGCAGCTTATTAAACGAGTGACTGCTTGTCACTAGCAAGATCAATTTGATTATATAAATCTCAAAAGTTTAATCTGTAACGTTCTGAAGTTTGTACCACTACACTGGAGACTTGAAACATTTTAAATGTTTCCTCTTCTACATGCAGATGAAAGTCACACACCCTTCTAGGAAATGTAATTTCTCTACCTCTGTTAACAGCAAAAGTCAATGAAGAAATGCTTGCCGTGACTAAATACAATCATTTTGAGACAGTTACGGGTTTGACATAGATGTCCAAAAGGATTTTCTAAACAGACCGATTGTTTCAGAGCTATGATTTTCCAAGGGTTTTCTACACAGACTTTTTAGGTTATAAAGCAGGGTCTAGGGCTTCTGCTCAATCTTAGAATTTATTGTTTATAAAATTAGAAACATTCTACAGTATACAAACACATCAGATATGCATATATACACACACCTCTTAAACATGCATAACTAGTATATTTCCTCTGAAGTTATTTGTATAAAGCACCTTTATTAAGTCTTTAAGAATCATTTACCCTCTTAAATATTCTTCACAGGACAGATTCCAGAAGTTTGATTTATTCATAACTTGTAGCTGACATTCTGCAGATGAAATATGTGGTATTCAAGAGGTTACAGTGACTACTGATCATAGTGAGAATGAACATTTGGTTTGCTGCTTATACTGAGCCTCTGAAGTACTAGCCAAGAACACTGCAATGACTTTACTAACATACAATTCAGAAATTAGTGAGAGTGATTTATAAATAAGTACCTTATGTTTCAATTAAAAAATAAAGCTGCATATGTGAATTTGAAAGTTATTTAATATTAAGGTTCCTACAATTCTGAATGTCCTGCTTTCCATCACTAACAGTTGACACTATCAACTATTATTAAAAAATAAAAAAACTAAAATAATGTATTCATAAAAGAATTGTAGCAACTACACAAGTTCAGAGAGGATCACTTGAAGCACACTAAGGCTGCGAGTAGATAAATGTGCAAAACCAATCTTAACACTTTGCTACTGCTGCCACAAGCAGCCCTGCTACCACCTTCCCTCTGGGCCTCCAGCTCCCCATGACTCAGGTCACACAGTTCCTCCCCACTCCCAAGCCAGAACTGGTACTTATCTGATGGCTATTAAGCCAGTAGTAGGATACCATCCTGAATTTGTAATTTTTAAAAGAGTTTCAGATGAGTGAATCATCATCTCACATAAATAACTCCATACAAGCTCTGCAATTGCCAGGGGTGACATGGCTCTGGGGGTGATGGTTAAGGGCATGAGGGCCCAGGTGGTTTTCCTCCTTGATCCTGCTGAGGAAGGGGAAGGGCATGAGGAAGACTGGATGTATCCTGTGGGCCCAACAATTGGTTGCACAGCAGGTATCCACAGCAGAGCTTGATTTTATGACCATGTGATCCTCTTTGAGGATTGACAGCTGGTTGGAAGAGACACGATCCCCTGACTAAATCCAGCAAAGTATCTTTGCCAACGGGCTTGTCATCTCAGTAAGAGCAACTTTAAACTAGGAATGACAGGGGAGGGAGAGATTTTACAACAATCAAGTGAGGAAGTGATAGATGGGGTAGGCAAGCAAAGGGCCATGGGATGATATGAACCAAAGGGACATCGCAATCAACAAAACAGGGCTATAGTGGAATCACCTCAAGCACAGGAATCCACGTAAGGAAGAGCCCATGGATCAGCGGCCTTCAAGAGAAAGGCCTCACTGCCTTTTTGAGTGCCTCTCAAATGCCTCTGCAAAAATGCATACAGTATGGGGAAAAACAGGAGGAACTGGAAGTCAGTATGCAGTTGTAGGGCTACAACCTCATTCAGATCACAGAGATATACTAGGCTAGTTCACATGACTGGAGTGCTAAGATGGATGCATCCACACCCTTTAGGAAGGGCAGGCCAGGACAGTGATGGGAAGTTTCCCTTTTTAGCAAGGAAGCACCCAGAATACATGGAGTTCTGCCTGGGGACAGGTGATGAGCCAGTGAAAAGATTATGGGTCACGATTAGTGAGCAGACCAATATGAATGTCTGCCATAGGCCACCTGATCAGGAAGACGTAGATGAGGCACTCTTCAGACAACTCACAGAAGCCTCACATTTGGTGGCTCTGGTCCTCATGGAGGACTTGAACCACCCTGAAATCAGAAGGGCCACAGCAAGGAACAAGAAATCTAGGAGGTTTCTGTAACACATTGGCAAAAACTTCCCAGCTGAGGTGACTGATGAGCCAAGCAGGAGAGGTGCTCTCCTGGACCTGATACTTACAGGCAAAGAAGGATGTGAAGGGTGGGCTACAGCATGATCAGGATAAGTTTAGGAGCATAAGAGGAATGAGCAGGGCATAAACAGGGCCACAGCCCTAGACTTCAGGAGAGCAGACTTTAGCCTCTTCAGGCATCTGCCTAGAAGAATCTATTGAGATATGGCCCTGGAGAAAAAAGGGGTCTAAAAGCTGGTTGAACATTTGAGAGTCACCTCCAAGTTCAAGAACAGTCTATGCCAAGAAGCATGGAGTCAAGCCAAGGCAGGCAGCAAGACACCCATGAGGTTGAACAAGCAGCTCCTGACTACACTGACATAAAAATAAAGTGTAGAAGAGGTGGAAGCAGGGGCAGGTGACCTAGTAGGAATATAGATACTGTATAATGATTCACAGATGGGGTTAGGAAACCAATAGCCCAGTTGAGTTGAACCTGGCAAGGAATGTGGAGAGCAACAAAAAAGGATCCCACAACGCTACAGGCTTGGGGAGGAGTGGC